ACGCTTTATAAACACTCTTGAGGACAGATACAAGGGTTATTATAAAGAAAATTGCCTTACATTGGCATTTTCAAAAACACTTTCAAAAACAACAATTCCTTTCAATAAATATTTTCAAAACCAAACATTTTGTATACATTCTCAACGATACGAGAATCATTACAAAATTTCCGCACTTAGGAATTTTCAAAATATTTTCAAACATACACAAAACACAAAGCATTTCAAAAATGAGCTAGCAATTAAGAGCCCGTAGATAACTATGGATTAAAAGGGTGCTAACACTTTCCCTTTTCATAACCTACCCCCCGAACCAAGAAAATTCTCAAAAGTTCTTTCCTGTTCTTTTCACCCTTTCCTTTATTGGATAAAAGAAAATTCGATGGCGACTCTTGCTATCCGTAACATTTGCGATAAAACGCAAAACTTAAAAGTCATTTCTCCCATCATATTACAGCTAGTCATGATAGAAATTGGGTTAAAACGTGGAACCTTGTGTGAATTTGTATGTTGCATAATTATAATAAAGTTGGTGACCTTATTGTAGAATGTAGTGGGCTTATGCCTTGCGGTTGCATATATGTGTTATTGCATGTTGATGATGCATGTGTTCATTGGTGAAGGCTTATGCCCTGTTGTTGGCCTGTAAGGGTGTTATTGTTACCTTGGAAAATCTTAAGGTATTCAAGTATGTATAGTAAATGAAGATATTCTCATAAGCTAAGAGTCGTCCTCCAAAGTAAGGGTTTTATGGGAAATGAGAGCCAGTGTTTGAAAAGATGGTTTTATTAAGTTAGAGTTAATGCTTAAAAGGAGTCACACTGGAACTGTCGAATCTGAACTACGTCGACTAGAAAGAAATAAAAGAACATATGTCAAGAGGTCAAAATTGGTTTAGTCGACCAAAGGGTGAAATATAAGGATTTGGTCGAAAATGGTTTTAGTCGATAAAAAAGGGTTTCTTGGACTTAGAGGAAGTATGGTTATTTTTTTCCAGAGAGAAAGTGGCGAAGCAAGGCAGAAGCGGTTTACGGTAAAGAGGTTTAGAGGAATCATGGGCGATTACCAGCAATCCACGATGTGTTTAAGCGCCAAATAGGTGGAACTTCAAAATCATGAGCGGTTACCAGCAATCCACGATGTGTTTAAGCGCCAAATAGGTGGAACAACAAAGTCATGAGTAGTTACCAACAATCCACGGTGTGTTTGAGCGCCAAATAGGTGGCAACATCTAATGAAGCAGTTACATCAAGATGTTAATATTAGCCGTAGATTTTATCTAGGTAGTTACATTATAAACACTATAAATAAGGGGATTTAGTATAGTTTGTGGTGTGTTCGCTTGTACTCTTAAATCACTTGTCAAACTCTGTCATTTCAAGCGTTAGGAAATCAAGAGTGAAGAGTGCTTGATGTACGTGAATCACCATTTTTATTTTAATGCAAATCCTTTATCTTTCAATTATATCTTTTTAGTACTTTATTTCTTTCTATTTACTATCGAGCAAGATATATACGATATCTTCTATTTCACATAAACAATTCGACAATATTTATTGATCACGAGTCACCAGTCAGTTAGTTTAGTAAGTCTCGCTTTCGTATGAATATCTTCTGTCGGTCATGAGTCACCAGTCAGTCGATCAAATCATAGTGTGTAAAACTATTACACATGTTCCCCCAGTCAAAATAAAACCATCTCCCTTGACTAATATTTCGACGGAATAGGTGTGATAGTAAAGCTCTTAGCACGTGTCTTGAGATCAACTGGTCGATCTCGCAAGTTACCCTCAATTTAGGACTCTGGGAGGACCGGCAGTTGTTTACCATTTTCCACAGTAAACAGTTATGTTGAGGGATTATGCCATGTTGCTGCCCTATTTGGCATATGTCGTGGGCTTATGCCCTGTTGGTACCACATGCATTAAGTTGTTGTCGGTTGCATTTCATTGTATTGTCTTAATTTGATGTTGTGTTATATGAATAACGGATGTATTACAAAGTATTGTGTGAAATGTGTGTTTTGTGAATCATGTGAATTACTACTCCGTAGCATGTGAAATTCACCGTATATTTATTTAATGTAATTCTCACCCCTTTTCTGTTTTTGTGTCTGTGCTCCTCGAGGAGTACAGATAATCAGGTACTGAGTAGTGTTTGGAGTGAGTGTTACCTAATCGAGTCTTAGGAGTCTCTCTAATACGTAACACAGGATTTGGGAACTTGCTATGTTTTTGCATTATTTCATTTGTTACTCATATTACATTTATACTTATGTTGCACCACATATTTTTAAGGAGTTTTTATTATTGTTGAGGCCTTAGCGCCGTGGAAGTGAATTAATTTAACCATTTCGTTGTTTAATTGATTTTTATATGAAATGAAGTAACTTGAAACTTTATGAATTTTTGAAGTATGTGACACCCTACTTGTGAACTCTGATATATTCTGTAAAGTATGTTATATTTATTCATGTGGGAAAAGTAGGGTGTTAGAAAATACATGTGAGTGTGTATGTAATCTACAAATTCTAGTCAAGGTATGCTACCAACCTACAAATTCTATTATTTTATTCAACCAAATACTTAATACTTCATCATCCTTAACACCTCCTCAATCTATAACATCACCATTCTAGCTTAATAAAATATTTAACTCATGACCTAAATCTACTTATGAGATGAATATAGAACATGCAAAGGAATAGAAAATAGGTGTGTGGCATATTTTCGTAACATATAAGTATTAGAACTATGAATGAAAAGTAAAATCATAAAGGATGTAGAGTTAGTTAACATCAATAGAAGAGAAAAATGAATTAGAACTTAAAATTAGAAATGCATATAACTATAAACGCACCGCCGTGCGAGACTTCTCTTTAAATTGTATCATTATGTTCAGTCAGTCGATAGGTGTTATAGAACTTAGCAGACACATCAGTTCTACATGTGCATGGACATGAGGTTGGACAAAAACTAAAGCATGCTTGCACAAATGAATGTCATTTAAGCTCAATGGACAAAGGTTCGGACATTTCCATCATAAATATAATTTCTTAAAAATATCTGATCAAAAGTTGTAAAGAACCTTTGAAGGATCCACCACACATGCCATGTAAATGGATGCAATTTACTTTTTTGTATCCTTAGATAATTGTATTCTTTAGTGCTGTAAAGAACCTTTGAAGGATCCACCCCACATGCCAAATTATTATTAGACGGAGAAGTATGGACATACTACATGCAGATTCACAATGAAGTAAAGAGTATATCATACATATCCTTCAAAAATTGAAATCAATGTTAATTCTTAAAAATAAAAAATCCATGTAAATTAGAGAACAATGACGAAATTATGCTTAATCAGCATTTTATGCAGACTCGAAAGGTGGCTTAAATCGAGTATCCAATTGTAATATGATAGTAAACTGAGAATAGTATCCTCATAACCAGTGTTCTTCACTCATCAATATTGACTTGTAGAGGAAATGTGCATATGAGATAGCAACTGAAATAAACAACATATCATTGAAAAGGTGTGAGCAGAAGTTACTTTCATTTTTCTTTATCTTCTCAGCAATGAGCTCATTCATATCTCTGTTATGCAAATAAATTCATTAGGAAAATATAATAGCAATAAAAATATTTTTGGAAATTCAGTTTCCAAGTTCAATCATTTGGGCCATTTCTAATTTAAGTTGTTTCAACTCATTAGAAAAATCAATATCCTGGCAAAGGGCAGTGGTTGCCCTAAACAAAAACAAACTCGTCGATTGCTTTACCTTCTTCGCCAGTATAATTCCAAGAGACTTCCAAATGGCTACACAATTTTGTGAAACATTCTCAAAGTATTGTTGGCCTTTTAACGGAAGATCATTGTCACATGAAATTATATAAAAAAAATGTATAAGCTATAGCGTGAGATATCAACTCAAATTGAACTTATTCTGTAAATGAAAAATTGTTGGTAGTGATGCTATTCTCCAGCTTCATCAATTGTGAGACATTGGTAATTTGATTTAGCATGTTACCTTTGATTACTTGAGAGGTATGCCTAACATTAGATGAAATCCATTTCTAAATAGTAAAATGTCTACTCAATATTAGTGAAATGAATACCTCTTTCCCATCATTGATTATTGAATCTGAATTTGTAGTAGAGATGCATATTTTCTTCATACCTTATCGAAGTAAACTCTACATGAATATTTGCACCATAAAAACAAAGAATTGTCAAACTCATTTAAATTTAGTAACTTCAAGCTTAAAATTGAAAATGCATATAGTATTATAAAGTTGAATAATTTGCAGCAACATACCCAATATTGATTGTAGTTTCCAATTCCGAACCTGAACTTCCCTAAGAGTCAACCTATTTTTTCAAAGATTTAGTTGCAAAGCTTGAAATGGTAGATGCAAAATTTATCTGTTAGGAGACATTGTGGCAGCCTCTGCAAGGAAAACATATTAACACTGTCAATCACATTTAGCTTTCACAAAAATAAGTTCTTTCATTTGCTCTATGTTAGTAGATAACTCAAATAATGCAATCCAATCAACCCTTAATCTCAAACCCAAATGATCTTTTAGATGCCACTTCAATGGTATAGCATAAATGTAACAATATCATACATCAATAATGTTATTCGAGAGAAAGTCAAATATCAATTGTTAATTCTACATAGTGAATTTCTATTAAAAAAACCTAACACAACCGAAGCAACCCTGACAATTAGGAAAAAACAAAATGGATTAGAGATTTCATAAGAATCACAAATGGTTGTAAAGGCACTCACGTCTACGCTCTCAACTCCTCTGTCGCCATCGATTCTCGGAACAGTGTTGGCGGTGGAGAAACCCTCAGAGATAAAAAAAATCCGTCATCCTTTATTAGACCGGTCCAAGCATAATTTTCATGTTGAAGCAAAGCAAACGATGTTAGTGAAAACACGTTATAGATTGGAATTAAAATAGAAATAAAGAGAAGCACTTACGATTCTCATGCCCAGTTCAACAACAATGAGAACCCTAAAATCATATTTTCTTGATTACTTATCACGGCGGCCAGAGACAAAGGGGTGGTGGCCGAAGACGATGATGTTCAAAATAGTGATCTACACGGTTCATCAGAGAGGCCAAGGTGGTATGAGGGTTGCGAAAATACCAATCATTTCTTTTTTTTAGGGCGTCATGGCCGGAAAGGAGGATAAGGAGGATTGACGGTTGTAACAAGAAATCACAATTAATTTGGTTATATAGAAAGGTAATAAGTTGATGAGTATGAATTTGGCATTTATTTTTCTATTGGAGGAGACGGTGGTCGGAGATGGGTTCGGGGAAGGAACGGCGGCTAGGGTTTCAGAGAGAGAGGGAGAAGAGATGGGTGGTTACGTTCTTAGACTATTGATGAGAAGAAATTCAAATTGACTGTTAGAGTCTTCATAATACATGGATGAATACATGAATCAGAGTTTGAAAAATGGAGAAAATTAATTGCTGCAAAATCAAGGATGGAATGAAGAGGCAGACGAAAAAAATGAAATTTGGATAAATAGGAAAAGTAGGCGACGTTTGATCTTTCCAATGGCCCAAACATTCATATATCCAGGTGTCTCATAACAAACAATGTTTGTACAATTATTTTATTTCATTTAACAAAAATAAAAATATATAATTATATTAATTAAAATTTTCCTCTTATAACAACAACATATAAATATAGTAGAAGGGTTGAGAATTTGCCAAGTGTCAAACTTGTCAAAATACTCATTTTCTTTTATTATATTTAATAGATAATAGATTTATATACAATTATTTGTTATGTGGAACAAGTAATTTGTTTTTTAGAAAATGAAAACATTGTTAATTGTTAATATTAAGTACAAAAGTATGATAGGGGAACTAAGTTTAAAATATGAGGACTAAAATTATTTAAATTTAAAATAAGGATTAATTTTATGAATCAAATAAAATAAGAGAATCAAAACTGTAATTAAGTCAATTATTTTTATAAATAATTCCAAAATAAAAATATTTATATATAGAATTAATTATACTATCGATTCAAATATTTATATATACGGAAGAAAATATAGAAACTGATTTATTATCTCTTTAAAAATAATAAACTATTTTGATTAGACAATTTTATCTTTTTTTTTATTTCATTTTTCTTATTTACATTTTATTATATTTTAAAAATAAAAGTGTACATACCACACTAAAATTATATTAGTGTTTCAAAAATCAGTTTATAACATTATTTTTAAGCTATATCTTCGTAAGTTTTTTAAAATAGTTTTTTTAAAATAGTCTATAACTCTAAAATAATTTTAAAAAAAATTTACCACCCACTTTTACATAAATATTTACCATAATACCAACAAATGTTATAAACTACAAATATAAGTTATATTAGGGTGTTTAGAAAAATAGTTTATTTAAACTTATTTAAGTATTGAATAAATTGTTTATGATAGTTTTAAAAAATAACACATAACTTATTTTAAATAATTAACTTTTATTATACAAACGGCTTTTATATATATAATTAACTTATTTTAAATTATTTATTTAAAAGTCATATTAATATATATTTTAAAGACACATATTAAAGATATTATAATTAAAAATTTTAAATATAATTAAATATAATAAAGTCATATGAGTTTAATTATTATATATTATCAGTATAAAACTTTTTATACTAGTAGTACATTACAACCACTCAATTATATTAATTTAAAAAAACTTAAAATAAAAATTAAACATTTTTAATAAATTAATAATTGTGATTAACTGACGGTGTGAAATTTCTTTACATCATCGATATATTTCAATTAAATTTAAATTATATTTAAAATTTTAAAATATTAAATATATGTATTCCATGAAAATAATTTTACAACTTATTAAGTTGTCCTTGAAACTTCATATTAGTTTTTTTCTTTAAAAGTTGCTCTAACCTTTTTCTACCGACCTATTAAGAATGGAATGAAAATGAATACTAGTATTTCTTATGATGATAACAGACGATTTAACATTTTAAGCATTGACAGATATTGACCAACAAATCAGGCCTACACGCTACGCCTTTCAGTTCATGTCAGTAACTACTCACTCCGTTTCATAAAAATTATTTTATTTGTATTTTTTCTCAATTTCAAAATTATTGTTTTATTTATTAATTTTCATTTTATACAACTATTCTATTAATCATATTTAATAAAGAAATTCTAATAAATATTTAATAATTTTATCATTAAAACAAAAATATCTAACTGTTTTTTAAAAAATCTTACATTATTCAAAATAAGACAATTTTATAGGACGGATAAAGTAAATATAGTAACTAACCATTAACCAAACCTGATCATGATTAGTCATTGTGTAAAACATCATACTGCCCCCACTACTATAATTAGCTCAAACCGATAATGACATAATAAAACAATGTGCTATATATTGTTAGGGGATTAGGATCGTTTTCATTTTTTAAAAGAAATGGAAAATTTAATTACAATAGTTTTATGTGTAAAGTTAAATAATCATTAAATATACATGTTTTAAATAGGTATATTTAGGAATGTTCAAATTTAAATCAATTTAAATATTGAAAACTGATTTAAAAAAACTAAATTTCGTAAAAAATATTGAATGTAGATATTATTTTGTGAAAACCACTAGATTATTTGTTCAAAATCAATCAAAATTGAACCGAATCGAATTATATATATATATATATATATATAATTATTTTACAATAATATTATCCCATCTTTAAACTCTTTTTTTTATTATAATAGTCGAAATTTCACTTTTAAAAAAATAAAAAACGAATATAATAGTTTCGAATTCACGTTCATATGTAATTATTAATTGAAATAACTTAATGGAAATTTGTATTTATTTATTAGGATAATATATTACTAGTAATGTACTAACAATACGAAATACATTACTCTAATGTAATGTTAATATATCGTTTCTCAGCTGTAATGTTCCCTTTATTTAATTGTGTAAGTATGAATCATGATGGTGTTGCGGCGGGCTGAATGAAAGAGGTATCTTGTCGTTTCTAAGCGCGACAATAATCATTGCATTGTTTCCATCGGCCCCTGTCGTACAATTCCACTACCTTAAAAGTTGGAGTTGGAACAAAATAGAAATAGAATTAAAAGTGGTTATTTGCCCTCTTTTATTGTCAAAAATAAAATAAAATTAATAATACTCTTTTATTACTCCAAAAATGTTATTCTTTATGTAATACTAATATAAAAAGAGAGAAAAATATTATTTTTAATATTTATACTTTGGCGAGCAGCACCGTGGCAACAGTGGGGAAGCTATGTAGAAATGGAGGTTATGTGGCGATGGAGGTTTGACAATATGCGTGTATTGGATCGATTAATTTGGTTCTTGAATTCTTTCGATGGAAATTTAACACTGTGATACGGTGGTAGAACTAACTGTTATATATTGATTTTGTATTTTTTGTTCGTAAATGTCGCGGTAAGCAAGAGTCGTCACCGACTTTTCTTTTATCCAACAAATAAAAGGGTAAAAAGAACAGAAAAAGACTTTTTTCGAGATTTTCTGAGTAAGAGGGTAGATTATGAAAAGAGAATGTATTATCACTCTTTTCATCTGTGGTTTTCCACAGACTCTTAGATACTTGTTCATTTTTTGAAAATTGTTTGTGTTTGTGCGTTTTGAAAGATTTTTGTTTGCTTTATGGTAACTCTTGTATCAATCCTCAAGAGTGTGATAAAACGTTTTTGAAAATAGTTTTTTGAAAAATGTATAAGTGTGAAAAATTCAGATTTAAACAAGTACTTAAGAACAGTCTACCTACTCGAAAAAGGACGTTCTTTTCTTCCTACCCTTTAGATAGTATTATCCTACTATTAGTGAGTAGGTAGTCCTATCGTCGGATGTTGAGGGACTATCGAAAGGGACGTTACAGTCACGAAGGCAACTTGTGGAGACGCTTTAGCAATTTTGTTTAGGGACTAGATCATTTACCGAGAAGGCAACTGTAGGGTCATCGAGGGACTGTGATATTTTGATTTATGGGTCTTTGCTAAAGCATTTTTGCCTCATGACTGTTCTATTTCTTAAGGCAACCAAAGTGGGGTACCCTAGAGGTGTATATGTGCAAGTGTGTTATGTTCAATTATTTTTGTCTTTTTGTTAAGTTTGCTAACGTTTGATTTCAGTTTTTTCATACACGCCTAGTTACTAGCAGTTATATGTACAGAAAAATAAAATGCGGAAAGTATAAATCTAGACTATTACATGGCTTCGGAGAGGGGAATTTACATTCCAAAGTAATTGGAGAAAAGAAAATATAAAAAGAGTCTATTTGTCATATATTACATCCCATACAACAATTACAATAATATAAACAATACGAAAAGAAATAAACGCGCGAAAAGTTGAAAGTACGCCTGAAAACATAAAAGAAAATCTTTTTGTTGTTGGTTTTTATTTTAAAAAAAATTAGATTAAGAAAAATAATTAAATTAATTATCCTAAAGTCTACTTAGAAAATTAAATTAAGAAAAATAAACTAATCCTTTTTTGCGGTTTTTTTTTATTATGAAAAGAAAGTAATTAGATTTAAATTCTAATTCATTTTTAATTAAGAAAAAGGTTAAAATTTTAATTAATTAATTAATTAAGTAAAGAAATTAATTATTTAATTAAAAAAATCTATGTCTAATTTTTTTGTGAGTTTTTTTTATTATTATTAAAAAAGATTAAGAAATGAAATAACTAAATAAAACAAAAAGAAAAGAGATTGTGTTTGATGGCTGAAGTAGAATGGGGGTTGCAATTGAAATTTCGCTAAGCCCAGATTGTGAAGCTCAGGTCCATCCTTGGATCCAGTGTGAGCAGTACTTGATGGTACATGGTATCTCATATTCTAGACGTCATGCATTCCATGTAATTTCCCTAATCTGCTCTAAGGATATCCAGGAACTCATATACACACATTAGAACATTCAACAAATTAATAAAAATAGAGATTCAAATTTGAGATTATACAAAATGGTGATAGCTTGGACCCGGTGATCTGGGACCTTGCAAGCTTTGAGGATGGTTGGAACAAGTCCCTGGAAACCTCAAGAGCAATGTATGATTATTAGTTCAGACCAAAAGTACTTGCAAAGTGGGTTTCG